CGCGGCAAACGGATACCGAGCTTGAAATCGACCCGTCAGAGAGACGGACCTCCTTCCACGGGAGAAGGGCGGAGCACCCAAGCCGGGCACTCCCGACCCAGCCCCAAGAAGAAGACGCCTCCGGCTATGCCTTCGGAGACGTCCGATCCGGCTGCGCCTGCTCCTGCTGCTTTTGAGGAGAGCTCTTCTTCTGCGGCTCCGCCGGCTGAAGCGACTTCCCCCGAGGAGGCGGGGAGTCCGGGGACCCGGATCCCTAGCCTCGCGGAGTCCATGAAAGCAGGCTTGGAGCGAGAAAGGGCGCAGCGCGCTAAGGAGTCCACCGGGAGTCGGCCGCGACACGCGCCTCCCTCCTGTCACGAAGGAGGAGAAAGAGGCCGCGGATGCAAAGTCGTTGGCCTCACTCAAGCGTGCAGTGGAAGAGAGCGGCGGAAGCTCTGATCGTCAAGCCCCAGCCGCCAAACGCGCCACGGCGAAGAAGGAAGAGACGCCGAGACGCCCGAACCCTCGGCCCGGTCTGCTCCAGCAGGAGCCGCGGCCGGGACCGGCGCGGCGTCCTCTTCGTCAGCTGCGGCCGGTGCAGGCGGTGCTGCCTCGTCTTCGAGGTCCTGACAAGAGGCGGCCGTCTGAGCCAGAAGGGCCACCTCCGAAAAAGCGTTGCACTACTTGGGAGGACACCATGGAAACGCCTGCCCCGCAGCACCGGGTCTCTGGAGTCTACGGGCTCTCCAATGAGGTGCCGCAGGCAGACTGGGGATGTCGACTGGAATGCTGCGCCGCCGCTGGGGCCTGGAAGGCCCGGCCCGCGCGATGTCGACAACCGGCTCGTGATCCCACTGGATCTGCAACACGACGAGCAGATCAGGGAGTACTTTCAGGGTGGTGGAGACCACACCCTGGAGCAGCTCCTGGCTTTGGCGCGCCGCCGCCGCCGTGCCTTTGTGTACAGGCGGCAATCTTGTCCATACCGGCCGGTCTTTGAAATTTGGCCGTACTATGACGAGAACGAAATGGCCCTACGCCGGAACGCCTCCCCCCGCTGACAGGGAAACTGTGGCCGTGGGGATGGTGGGATTGCTTCGAGTGCGGCCGTGCGAACTTTTGTGAGAGGAACACGTGCCGCCACCACGACTCCGAAGAGATGGGAGGTGCCCCGTGCACGGGGATCTTCGACCGAAGACAGTCTCTATTGGAGCACCCCGGTGGACCTTAGGACGGTGCCGGGGTGGTTTGTCGAACAGTGGTTGGAGGAGCACAAGGAGCGTGTGAAGGAGTACCTTTACACAAAACGCTCCGATGCGATTGCCGCCGCCATGAGCAATCCTTACTGGACGTGCGGTCGCGATTCCTGCCAGGAGCGGAACATGCTGTGGAGGAAACTTTGTTTCAAATGCAGCAGCAGGAAAAGCGCCGCATGTTACATTACCCATGGCGTACCTCCGGACGAGGGCGATGAGGACGAAGGTTCCTCCTCGGACGAATCCGAGGGAACCCGCATGGAGCGAATTGAAAAGTCGCTTGCTGCGGACCCTCTGGTGGAACACGCCCGCAAGTTTTTGCGTTCCGGCCGCAAAAGGATTCGAGCTGAGAAACGCCGCGAGCAGGAGTTGTCCAACGACAGCGGGCGTGGTGGAGCCGTCCCGGACCTGACCGCGGTGCACCCAGTGGGGGCCGCGGCTCTGCCGGCAAGAGCAGAGGAGGAGGATCGGGCAGGGGCAGTCACCGAGGATGGTGGGCCGGCGGTGCCGCCGGCTTGGCGCTCTCCTCTCGCTTGTGGGCTTGGTGGGTTGGGAGAGCCGCCAGCCCTTGCACTTCCGCTTCGTGGCCACCGAGTGGCGCCTGATGCCCCTCCGCCCGTCTCGTCCCGTCGTCGCGTCTATAGTTCCTCCAACCAGGATTGGTTCCTGGGAGCAGTGCGTTCCGTAGGCGCCGCTGTGGCTAGCTGGGCCCTCTCGAGAGGAGAGCTCGCAACCGCGCAGCCCATGCTACCACCGGCAACATCGGCTGGAAGATGGGTTTGGCGGCCGCAGCGCTGGCGCCTACCCTCTTCACTGTGGAACGCGGCGCCCGGGAAGTGGCGCAAGTCAGCCTCACAGCAGTCGCTAGCGCGGCCGAAGACCTCATCGAAAAATCTTCCGGAATCCTCGTCAGGGGAGTTCGTGTCGTGGGCTTGGCTGCTGTGGTTCTGTTGTGGACCGTCGCGGCCGTCGTGCTGGGGTGGGCTGGGCCGGACGAGTCGCCACGAATAGGCTGATGCACGCCATGAACGGCAACCCTTTGTCAAGTGCTGTTCTGGTGTCCCTAGAAGGCCGAGAAGCGGTTTTCGAGGTTGCCTCTAAGGCCAAGCCTGGCGCCCACCGGGTGCTAGTGAAGCTTGGCGCGGGTGCAGAAGGCGCTGGGTGCGATTGCCGGGCGTTCCTGAACGAAGGACGCTGCGGGCACATCGGGGGTGCCGTTGAGGATTTGGGGCAACTCGTGGCCATGACCAGCTTCGGTTTCTGCTCTTGCCGCGACCCGCCGTGCCAGAGCTATCCCTGGCGCCGGCCTTGGAGCAAGGATGCGGTATGGTCTCGAAGGCTAAGGCGCTGTCAGAACTTAAGGCTAGGAAGGCCGGGAGCCCCTCAGGAGGTTGCCTGCAAGGCCTTTCCAAGCTTGGCGGCCACCATGAGGTGGCCACAGCGTCGGCGCCTCCAACGGAGACCGTTCCTGCGGCACCCGTAGTCGCGGCGCCGACCTCAATCCGTCCGACGAGTGCCAAGGAACGCCGCATCGATGGTTACCCGATTCCGCTCGGCTATGAGCGCTGCGTGGTCAAGTTCCTCACGTTCCCTGAATACCACACTGAAGTCGTCAATGTGATAGACGGTGCGCGGGATGGCGACCACATTTATGTGAGGGCCTACAGCTTCGATAGCAGGCCCGTAGTCGCCGCCCTCGTGTCCGCGCTGGAGCGAGGTGCGAGAGCCAGGGTGCTCGCAGATGACTCGCAAACTTCAAAAGACGAAGCTGCAGCTTCAGTCGCTTAAGGAGGTTGCGGTCGCGGGCGCCCAGGTGCGCATCGGGAAGGGTACCTCAGTGCGCGCGGCATATGCGGCTGAGGGGCGCGATGAAGTCAAGGTTGGGGGTGGCCTTGCAGGCATCCACCATGCCAAGACGGTCCTGGTGTCGCACCGAGACGGCACCGTGAACGGGGTCCTCGGCAGCCTGAACTTCAGCGCCAGTTCGAGAGCGAACGCAGAGGCCGGGCTCGGCTTTGCCACCATAGTGACTTCCGATGTCGCTGTGGGTTGGCTCGATAGCTTCGGCGTGGAGTGGTCGGGGGCAGCAGACCTCCAGGAGTACGAAACTGGAGCTGCCAGAAACCGCCCACGTCCGAAGGCCCGGCCGAAGGCCCAGCTAGGGGCCCTGACTAACGATTCTGAGCCGCAGTGACCGTGGACCTGAGGTCGCGGGACACGCGACAACTGGTCGCTGCGGCAACCCTGCAGTTTTGGTACGGCAACCAGCGGAGGCCGTATGGGGTATACAGGGTGGCGTATCCGCTCTAAAGGCTCCAGAAAGTCCCTGCTGGGGAGGCACGGAAGTGCTCCCGAAGCGCGAGGAGTCGCTTCGTCTTCTCCGCCGTTGTTTCACCAGTCCTGTGGCCGCAGTGCGGCGCAGACTGTGTACAGTCTTAGGATCTGAGCCTCGTGCCGAACGTGCCGTGAAAAGTTGCACGTCGTGCGCAGTGTTTGAAGAGTTTGTTTAGGAGGGTTGTGTCAGTAGGTCTGTTTCTACGGCCTCCGGCCGCCCGCTAACCCTAACGGCTCTGTCGCGCTCTCGGCTGAGGGGCGAATGTAACTGTACATAGTCTGCGGGCTGGCTGTGAAGCTGTGTGCTTTTATGCATGCTTCCTTAATTCGTGTTCATAACAATTTTGGCTCAAGTGAGCACGGCAGCTAGTCGTAGGTTGCTTCGTGTAGCCTGCGGCACGAGTTGTGCGCAGCACGCCTAGGGCGGACGTTCGGGCTGTCACGCCCGCTGGACTTGCTTTAGGCAGCGAAAACAAGGGCGCTGTGCCTGCCCGTGTTGCTGTCTTCCACATGGTAGTGGTAGTGGTAGTGGTAGTGGTAGTGATGCGGTAGCGGTAGCGGTAGCGGTAGCGGTAGCGGTAGCGGTAGCGGTAGCGGTAGCGGTAGGGGTAGTGGTAGCGGTAGCGGTAGCGGTAGGGGTAGGGGTAGGGGTAGGGGTAGTGGTAGTGGTAGTGGTAGTGGTAGTGGTAGTGGTAGTGAGGGTTGTTGTTGTTGTGTTCTTCTTGTTGGTCTTGGTCTTCTTATTCTTCTTGTTCCTGTTCCTGGTTTTACCCTTGTCATAGGACCCCTCTGGCACATGGCCGAGGCGGGTTTGCATGGCGCTTAATGTCTGACAGATGTTGCGAATACGGAAAAGCAATTCTAGGCGCGTGATTGTTATTATTATGAGTAGTACTAGTAGTAGTAGTAGTAGTAGTAGTAGTAGTAGTAGTAGTAGTAGTAGTAGTAGTAGTAGTAGCAGTAGCAGTAGCAGTAGCAGTAGCAGTAGCGGTAGTAGTAGCAGTAGCAGTAGCAGTAGCAGTAGCAGTAGCAGTAGCATGCAGTAGCAGTAGTAGTAGTAGTAGTAGTAGTAGTAGTAGTAGTAGTAGTAGCAGTAGCAGTAGCAGTAGCAGTAGCAGTAGCAGTAGCAGTAGCAGTAGCAGTAGCAGTAGCAGTAGCAGTAGCAGTAGCAGTAACAGTAGCAGCAGTAGTAGTAGTAGTAGTAGTAGTAGTAGTAGTAGTAGTAGTAGTAGTAGTGTTCTTCTTGTTCGTCTTGTTGTTCTTGTTCTTGTATCTTGTTCTTCTTATTCTTCTTGTTCGTGTTCTTGGTTTTGGCCTCGTCATAGGATGCCTCCGAAATCCTTCTGGCACATGGCCGAGGCGGGTTTGCATGCCTTGAACGTGCTTAACGTCTGAAAGATGTTGCGAATACAGAAATTCTCGGCGCGGCACTCGCTGATGCAAAAACTGCACCTCTCAATCTTCAGAGCATGGCAGGAAGTGGCAAAAGACGGACCGATTGCTTGCGAAAGACATTCTTGGCTCGGAGCGTGAGCTTCGGTGGCGATGTCCTGCGCGAGTGTGGCAAATGAGTGATCTGCAAGAGGCACTTGACAACGTAACGGCATTTACAAAGGAAGTGGGAACAAGCGGAGTCAAGGATGGAGGGCAAGCGGAATAGAAAAATGGGCCAGATGCTGTGCCTTACCAACCTTCTTATCGGAATGTGCAACTCCAGTTAGGCATGATTGTTGACAGCACCATAACACAGAACACTGCTTGGGTCGCACCTTCATCTGGAGGTAGGCCGCCTTCCACGCCTTTGCTTGCTCCTGGCGCATCCATGGCACAGCGAACACCTCATCCCTTGTGCTGCTAGACTTGACTTGTGGCTCAGTCGTGTCGTGGCTCCTTGACTTTCGAGAGAACGTGGGCATCCTGATCGCAATCACGTGAACATGCCCCAGCTCGGAGTAGCTGAGTAGCCCTTGCTTCACCGATCTTCCGCTCTTCACCCTTCTTCTTGTAATCACTACCCTCAAGCATCCCGCAAATTCAATTACGGGTACTGTAGCTGTTGGCCCAGATGGACCGATGACTTGGAAGAGACGTTGTGTCTCGGGGTCTCTGCGCTTTTTGTTTGGGGTTTGAGGGTTTTCGTTGGGGTTTCGGGTTCGGGGTGGAGGTTCTTTTTTTTGTTGAACCCTCTTTTCTCCCCGCCTAGGCTAGGTTGGTTGAATGCCACAGGTGGCTGAGGGGGGCACTGGGAAGCAATGCAGCCCACATATAGCCACATAAACCAACAGATTAACATCAACCTAACTCAATCCCAGCTCCCCAGTCATTCGTGCGGAGTAGTCTCGACGCATGTACTCGGCACAGCTTGGTCGGCGAACCTGAAGCTCAGGGTCGAGGGCGGCTGGGTGTATGGGTTGATGGATTTAGGGATCAGGGTTTGCCTCTTGGAAGCATTTCGTAGAGTCAAGTGAGTGCTGCCTTGACGTCGAGCCATGGATGGACCAGCAAACCCGGAATCTGTATTGAATCTGTATTACTTCTGATTGTTGGGAGGGGCGTCACTGGTCTGGAGAGCTGCCTCTTGGCATTTCATGGTTAATGCATCGGGCTCCCCCCCAAAAAAGGCCTTTGCCCTTGAGCCTTCTCTATAACAATAACTCACTGTCAAACCTGCCCAAGGAGACTGGGATCCAGGCTCGTCACCTTCATCGTCGATCTTTCGCAGGCAACTCATGGCCTGGATGCAAAGCAAGCTACCCTCGCACACAAAGCTAGACTGCTTGCAGTCTGCTACACCTGCGAAGCCTTTTTCTTTACGGGGCGATGTGCTGCTCGTGAGACGGATTTCAGCACACGACGAGGCAGTGTATGTTATGCCTCACGTCTTGGAAGTTCGGAGATTTCCTGAAGGCCTCCAGCTGCCGCTTTGTGTCTGCATAGGTTCGAAGGGGATCGTCATCAGCAAGCCAAAGGAGCTTCAGCTGCTGAAGCATCCAGGTCTGGCATTTGGTCCGAGATACCTCTGGAACTGAGGTTGGTTGAAAACTCTGTAGCGCTGTGACCAAGCAGGACGCCCACTCCTGACGTTGAGGCCTCGTCAGTGATCTCAGGAGATCTTCGAGATGTTGCATGCAGAGCTTCAGAGAAGCCCAGGTCGGAGGCATCTGCGACCGGCTCGCTGACGTCATGTCTCTCATCTGACTGAGCATGGCTTCTGCGACCGGCTCCTTCACGAAGTCAAGGCCGCCCCAGATATAATTCCTGACTACGGTGTGTGCTGCTTTACGCACAGACATATCCTGGTCAAGGCAGTATCCCAATGCGAAATCGAGGTTTTTGACCACGACTGCGCGGACGACACTTTCGGCAAAATGAGTTCTGTCGGCTTGCCCCAGCGCGATACACCATTCCTGGCCTGAGATGCAGCGATTGGGTGGGGTTTTGACGGCACGACCGACAGGAGGATCTCCTACACTAGATTTGGAAGTCGCCGTACGAATCAAGCAGCATTCAAAGATCTTCAGGGAGCCGACATCGTCGCCAAAGGCTTCGGATTTGGACAGGCGCGGAGGGCCCTCCAGGCGGTGCACAGCATCACGAAAGGCCACCATCGAGGCGGACCTTAACAGATCTGGCATACGGGCATACGGCAAAAGCGGTCTACCACAACACCAGCACGGAATATGGCAGCACTCAGGGCTCGGCGTGTCGAACCTGCCGAGCTCGGCCACGTGCCGAGTCAGCACCTCGCGATGGAATTCGACAGACCGCTTCCGTGATAGATGCGTCGCGTGCTGAATTCACTCCGTAACTTCCTCTCGTTGCAGACCTCTCACGACATATTTTCAGAACAGCATACGCTTCCGGTCCAGGAGGAGTAGCGCGGAAAGCCCTGCCAGACCCGGCCTCCGGACTCCGGGTCTGCCGAGATGTCACGCGCCAGGCCACCAGGTCTGAGACCTCCGGGAAAATGCTTTTCAGCATCCCGGCGCCGCGAGTCGCGAGACGCTCACGTGACCCCCTTTCACAGCACTTTGCGACTAGTGTTGTGAGATGTTGTGAGACAAGCCACGGAGAGGTGCTGCAGAAGAACAGGCCTCGGACAGCGACACTGACCATCGCTTGAATAAAACGAGTTTCAGCGGCTCGGGGCTCGTTGGCGGCCAAGTCGCAAAGCCTCGAAGGAAGGATGAAACGGATCGATGGCTGCCTCGCGCTAGTAGATGTCACAGCCAACAGTCTACACCGGTGGGTCACGACGGAGAACATGCATGAGTGTGGGACGAGTGGAGGCGGAGCCTGCGCCTTCTCAGCGACGAAATCCAGCTCGTGTGCACCAGTCGGGTCCATTGAGGCTGTGCTTTCTGGCTTCTTGTCTTGCCTCTCCGGACCCAAGACACCCGGCTGCAACAGTTGCAAAAGCTTGGCATGCAAAGCGCGGCCCAGGGTCCCCTCGCCCATCTTGGCCCGGAGCGCTCCAGGCAAATCTTCCTTTCAACGGAAGAGATCAGCAGGGCTGTGCTCCTTTGGGACTTGTATTTTCAGGGCCTTGGTGTTGGGCTGCTGCTCATCATCCTTCATCTCATCATCGGAGCCGCACTCCTCAGGGAAGTGCTGGAAACGTACTCACTCCATCTCACTCCTTGTACAGCTGACGTCGGTGGCACAAGGATTGTTGTCGGTGTGACACTCTGCTTGCGTCCTTCGGAGAGCCGTCCCCGTCGCCACTGCTGTCGCAAGTGTCGCAAGTGCTTCGACCAGGCGAAGACGGACTGTTTCCCTCTCCTTGGCCGTACCTTGGCACAGAAAGAAATGCGACTTTCTGTGCATGTACCGGACACCGCTGTTGAAGCTACCCCGAAGCAAACTCGCGGACTGGATAGTCTGCAGAGCTCAAGAGCAGCTATGTGCTCCCGAAATCACAGAAACAGCAGTCCTGATTCACAAGCCATATCGTGCGCAATCCGCGCATGCACTTCATGTGAATCGTGGTCCCCGATGCAGTAGCCAAGCAGCTCATCACTCGTAATGTCGCTCTCCCGCTCTGTCTTTGTGGTCAGGCGCCTAGGTGCAACCGCCCTTCACTGTTCTCAGGGGACAAGGCAACACAAGAGGCTCCGGTACAGGAAGACCTCCAAAAGCACAGCCAAGCTTTGACTTCGCTTGTGTCACCATAGTGCAAACAGTCACAATGTCGCACACAACGACCTGGCACTACAGCTACTACACCTCTGTCTACAGCTGTACCAGCTGCCCGAATGCATAGCTGGCCGTCAGACTGTCAAATTCATCTAAAGACAATGAATCTCGGAGCAAAAGCTTGTCGACAAGTTGCGTTCGGCACCCTTGAATCATCTCCTGCACACGCAGCCTTCAGTGACGATCGATGCATGCGGATGCAAGAGAAGGAGAAACAACCCGCGATGAGCTGAGACTCAAGGCCGGCCCTAGAAATGCGCAAGCTTCAGGCGCCACACGGTTTCAAAGCTTCTGACCAATCGCGAATCCAGCTTAGACCCTTCAATAAAACCAACTGCAGCTGCGAAACGCATTGCGAAGCTTCTCGGTGTCAGCCCAGCCAGCACTGTTCTCACGGCGAAAATCATGGAACCTGAGCGCCGTTTCCACATCTTGCAGCCTGCACCTGCCTGTCACAACCGGAACAACCTCCATCCTTGAAGCACATTGCGTAAGCGTGCCACGGTACATGCTCGCTTCAAAGCTTCTTACCAGGATGGCACTCGCAGCGCGCAAATGCGAATCCAACGAGCTGCAGCTGAGAAGCGACTTGCGCAAAATAGCGGTTTGAGCGCAAAGTTCGTTGTAGCCATGTCGAAGAGTGATGCACCTGGGCTCCGCTTGAATGGAATGCAGGCAGTTCTTAGACCAGCTACCACTAGCACGCAAGGCCCGGGACGTTTGTCTTTGACCCGATCAGGCATGCAACTATTCTAGGACCTACCAGCACGAGCGCGCAAGTATTCCAGCACCATTCCCGTCAAGCAAGCAGCAGTTCCAGGACAGCTTGTTTTCACCAGCTACTCAAAGCACTCAATGCACAGGACAGTTCTCTCTGGCCGACAAGGAACACGATCCGATCAAGCATGCAACTGTTCGAGGACTGTTTTCTGTCGCCAGGTACTACCAGCACCACATGCCCAGGACATTTCTCTGACCGACCACGAGTACGATCCGACTAATTTTAAGTGCGCAGCTGCCCGATCAAGGACAAAACAACCTAAGGACGGTTGTCTTCAACCAGCGGCTAGTTCACGACAACTCTCTCTGACCGACCTCAAACACCATCCGATCAAGCATGCCTGGGTTCCAGGACACTAATATAGTACCCTAAATAGTAGGATCCCTATTCTAAGGACCCCCAAAACAAGGTACCCCTAATTTTCGGAAACTCCCACATCTGGTCCTGCCTCTAGCCTAGCATCGCGGAAGTGCCGGCCGACGAGCCCAGCGATCACATTCATAGAGCAATGCTAATACTAAAGCTCATAGCAATACTGATAGTAGCTCAGTACAGTAAGAAGCAGGGTAATAGAACAAGTCTTCGTGATGGCGATAGTGATAGAACGCTGACAGCGACAGTCATAGTGGCAGTGACAGGATATTGACAGTGATAGTCATAGGAATACAACTACACATATCAGCAGTAGGAGTAGTAGTCGTAGTAGTAGTCGTGGTAGCAGGTGGTAGTGGTAGTAGCGGTGGTGGCGGTGGTGGCGGTGGTAGCGGTGGTAGCGGTGGTAGCGGTGGTAGCGGTGGTAGCGGTGGTACTGGTTGTAGTGGTAGTAGTAGTCGTCGTCGTCGTAGTAGTAGTAGTAGTAGTCGTCGTAGTAGTAGTGCCAGCAGCATCATCAGCAGGAGTAGTAGTAGTAGTAGTAGTAGTAGTAGTAGTAGTAGTAGTAGTAGTAGTAGTAGTAGTAGTAGTAGTAGTAGTAGTAGTAGTAGTACTTGTAGCAGTAGATGTAGTAGTCGTCGTAGCAGTAGCAGTGGTAGTACTAGCAGTAGTAGTAGAAGTAGCAGCAGTAGTAGCAGGAGTAGAGGTAGTAGTAGTAATGGTCGTCGTCGTAGTAGCAGTGGAAGTAGCGGTATTAGTGGTATGGTTGTAGTGGTAGTGGTGGTAGTGGTGGTAGGGGTTGTGGTCATAGTTGTTGTTGTAGAAATAGCTAGAAACAGAAGTAGAAATCGAAATAGCAATAGAAAATAGAAATAAGAGTTGCTAACATGAAACATGACATGAACGATAGTAGTACAGATGGTACTACTAGCACAGCAATAGTCATCGCAGTTGTGAACACTGCAAGATTAGCCGCGACAGCAAAGCAAGAGTCATATCTTAAACCTATTGACAATAGGAAAATGAAAACAACGAGATGAGATGTGTCGGCAGCATTGGCAGCAGGCGTTTTTCGTGTCCCAAATACGGCTGCTCTTTGCCGAATATTTGCGAATATTTCCGACATTCGGCGCGAAATCATGTCTTGAATTGTCTGGATTTGCCAACTTGCTATTTCCTGAATCTTCTTCTGCCGCTCCCTGAATCCCAAATCCATTCTCCGGGTCAAGCTCGTTCGAGGTCGTCCAATGAATTTGCGTGAACACGCTTCCGAAGTTTGACCGGGTTTCCAACTTGGAGGTTTTCAGTTTGCACATGGTTCAACGTCGTGCTATACTGTACCTGTCTGTCATAACTGGAACATAAACCATCACCTGCGGACATTGTGTAAGGACTCGGCCGCTCTCTACAAAGCCCAACAAATGGAACGAATCTGACCAACTGCAGCTCAGACGCTCATTTTGCAGGACATCGTTTTGAGTCCAAGCTTCATGATTGTCACGGCGAAGCTCGCCGCGCCTGTGATCCGGTTGAAGGTCTTGCCCTGCTGTATCTTGTAACTTTAACAACTGGAGCAAAGCCATCCTTTATGCACCCACTGTGTATGCACGCTAAAATCCAGCTCGAAGACTCGTTCTGCAGCTGATCGTTCTCGGCGCTCAGCTTCTGGATCGACGCAATGAGAGACCACAAGTACTGGTTCAACCTGAGTCTCTTGCGCGAGCTTCCCGGCAAATGCCACATGCAGCGGTTGGGACCTGTTTTTCGGTTGACTATGTCCCCGCACATAGTGCATTCGCCAAGGGACCCAGGGTCAGGTGGAATCGGTCCCGGCGGAGGCTGCCATTGCACAATGCATGGCATCGTCGACATGCTGTCAACTTCACACAAAACCCTAAGGCACATTAGTGCGCGTTGACATGTGTCAGATCTTTGAACCATTGGCTTGTTCTGCGCGTCACAGAGTCGCTGTAGCTGTGAAAGCTATGCAGCTGCGGTAGCTTGATCAATTATCAGAGCAGCTTGAAGCCTCGAGGACAATCCACAAAAAACAAACGGCAAGTTTCTGAATTGCCAGGCCCGCCACGCAAGTGAGCAGACAACCTTGCGCAGCAAAGATTAGTTCCACTTTCGACGCCATATTGGAACTGGGCCCGGCACGTCAGGGATGGGGCGTCGGAGTGCTTGCTGAAGCCAAGAATGCTAGGCAACAACACGTCTCGAAAGATCTGGGCCAGCAAGTGAAGACCAAGCAAGTCAATGAACAAATCAGATGCGCTTTTTGCGATGCATGCTCAAGACCTGTCCTGCTGTTACGTACCTGCACGAGTGGCAGATCCACCTCAGAAATCTGCGTCCCAATCAAGAGCAGCTGCCTGGGTGCCACAGGGTTGTGGTTTCAACATCAGCAAGGATGAATTGGTAGTTTGGCTTCTCTGTCTCCCCTCACAACTCAGAAGGCCCCGGGAGCAATGCTGGAAGTACAGGCTGTGTGCTCACCTGTTCGCCCGCACTTCTTCTAGGTGTTCCAGGTCTTCCTGAAATGTGCTGACGTGCAACCTGGCATGGCAAGACTGACCCTTGCACGTGCTCTCGCGAAGTTCAAGAATCAAACAACGTCTGTCGCTGCTGCGACCGTACATCTTGAAGCCGAGATCCCCACTGATAATTCATCTGACAGCGGCTGCTTGTCAGACAGGATCGTGATGGTGCATAAGTCGTCATTGGAGCTGTTCCATATTATGCCCACCCAATGCAGTGTGTGGCAGCGCCTCCGATGTTCATGGCCCCTGAAACCATTATAGGGAAGGCTGCTGTCGTTTGCACTACATTACTATCACCACCACCATCACCGACAACTTGCGAGAGGCTCCTGCACCCTTTCAGAGCTACACGACTGGGGATTCCTGCAGTCTCGGCATTTGCCTGGCCCTTGCGCGTTTCTTCGAGCTCTCTGACGAAACGTCCATCGAATGCTGAGAGCAGCGCTTTCCCTGATGATCGCAGTTCTCGGCGATTATGAGTTATGACTGGCTTGTTCCATCTGCGGGCCTTTCTCTGCGATCTTGCACTGCTGTATGCCTATACCCTACGGAAGGCGATCATCTGGAGGCTAGGTGCGGGTTTCCGGAAATTGGGGTACCTTATTTTGGGGTCCTTATAATAAGGATCCTACGATATAGGGTACCATAGTAGGGTCCCCAATTTCCGAAAACTCTCAAATGTTTTGCATGCGGTGGCTTTCGTTCGGTCTCGATACAACCCACGATGCGTCTGCTTCGCACTCTTCTCACGCAGTCCTATGCCGCTTCTACATTCGCTCCGCCCGGCTGAAGGATTACCCCGAGGGAGACAGAGAGTCTCTAGTGACTCTAGTGGCGGCTGCGTGAAACTATGCAACTAGCATCGAGCAACGACGGGTTCCGTTTCCAGGTGCATCATGCTGAAGACCGAAACCCATCCAAGACACAGGCAGTCAGCTCGAACAAACCCAGTCTCAACGCATTTGGAGCTGCAAGCAGCTGAGCCCCGCTTACACATTCCGCGGAGGAGTACACTCGAACGGAGCAATAGGCTTGAGTGCACATGCCCCAAGTTCCCGGCGGGTATCGAAATGATCGCACAAACTCCTGGATAGAGCACAGTGCCGCTGTTTCTTCAGACCTCCTTCAGACTGAAATCAGACAGTAGTTGAAAGCATTCCTCTCAAAAATTCACGAATGTACCCGAGCCGGCCTGAATGATTTTAGTGCTGGGCCGCATTTGAAGCATTCCATAATGTTCGCGTGCCTGTGATCTGCCCCTACGATCTGACCTCGCACCCGGCTGAAGGTAAGCTTGCAATATCGAGCTCTGAACTTAAAACTCACTCCCCTCTCACTACCTTAACAAAGCCATGGGGGGGCAGTACAGGTAAAACACCGTAAGGTGCGACGGCGAATGTTCCGAGTCGTGCACTCAGCTAGCCGCCTACTTCTAGCTTCTGCTCTGATCGTGAGCACCCGTCGAAAGTACAACCCCGCCACTGAAAGCCATAGCAGCTCGAAGATAACACACAGAAGCGTTTAGTGTCGATTCGCATGTTGTGTGATGCAATTGTCAAGCCTTGGCTGTTCACACATGGTTGCCGACACATCCGTGCTGGATTACTTATTGCAGGCGTCCTTCGCACGAAAAACCGTCAGTGCGGCTCTTAGTCCGCACCACTACGAGACAGAAGCGTCACACGCAGAATGTGCCCTGACAGATCACCTGCGCGATGCACGAAGCTTGGTCGTCAAAGTCCAGTCAAGTCAACAAACAATCGTGCCTCCGGTCGTGTGTCCCATTCGTGGGTGTAGTCCTGCAGATACTCGTCTTTACATGATGAGCACTGCCACATACAGATATATATATATATATATAGATAGGTATATATACATATATATATATACGATTTCCAGAACTGGTGAGACTCTGCGACCGGCGGCCTGTGAGTCCAGAGGCTCCAGCTCCACAAGCGGAAGGTACCTTCAGTCAAACTTTCCGTCTAGGCGGACTCTTGAGCAGGAGCAGCCATCAAGTGAGCACGGCTGCACCTCGACAAATCCAGCTTGGATTTGGCAAAAAGCTGCTGGACCTGAAAGGAAAGTTCTGGAGAGGAAGAGTTACTTCATCAGTTATTTCATCCCAATCCCACCTCGTCAGTCTTGCCTTCCTGAATGGCTTCCTCGCATGTTCAAGTTGGGCTGTCAAGCCATTATTCGAGCTCTCTGAAGATGACGGTATGCCACGTCTCCTCCATTCGAGTCACCTGTTCGGCAGCGAGCTCATACTTCAGTGCTACGATCTTTGCCATACAGACACAACGGCAAAGCATCCATTCCGCAACAGACCAGACTTGGTGACATGCAATGTTCGGATTTCATGGCCGTCAGGCCTTCTTTGCGAAGGAGCGGATGATCTGAACCTGCACCAAATCAACGGATATGAAGTCCCAATCTTGATGTCGTGGCACTGAGCACAACAGCGAGAGACAGCCTGAGAGAGGAAAGTAACACAAGGGACTCCCAGCATCGTAGACGGTCCACCAGACGAAAAGGTCCCATGCGAGCAAACACACGATAGCACACTCTGTCACACAGAGATACACACACACACACATCTGCCGCGAAACATGCAGCGAACGCACAAACCAAAACCCCTTAAACCTAGTTCGTACATGCCAGAGTACTGCGACTTCCTGTAAGCTGTTCGGGCTTTAGAGTGGGGTTCAACAGGCTCTGCCTGTGCAGCGGCTGCAATTTTGTGCAAGGATGGTGGCATATCACTTGCAAAGTGACTTCCTCATCAACTGCTAGGACGAATGGCGGCTGGGCCGACCTAGACTCTCAGCTGCAGCTAGATACCTCTGATACTGTTCTAGCTCGTGTACAGGGAACCTGACTGCACCAGCGTTGCTGATCCCGCGACAACCGAGAAGGAGAAGAGAAGCCCTCCTTGCAGAACTGACGGCTCAACAGCTCGGAAGGCACCTGCGGCAAGTAATCCGGAATGTCACCAGCGCTGTAGCGAAAGGCCCCACCCTCAGCAGTCGACTCTCTCTGTCACTAGAGATCAGAGAAACAAAAAGCATGTTCAGCATGCAGCGAGAAGGTCGGTGGCCGTCTTGAAATCCAGCCATCGCGACGTCCTCTTCTCTGCCATATTTGACATGGGTTACTTGTCTTGGGCTGCAGCTTTCCTAGGCTTCGCGAATCAACTGAGACGAGCCTCTTCTCCTTGGTCTTGCACTTTCCGCCGAAACCTGACTCGACAAAGCTCTATTGCTTGGATTTGAACCTGACAACAGCGTTATGCAGCGGTCTGGAAACCCTAAACCCTAAACCCAATCTTCTCAGCTTGCGATGCTATTTCGTCGGTTAGCAGTCTGACTCTCTCGAGAATCTGACCACAATTCTTTATGTCCTGCCCGCCCTTCACTTTGATGATGTTCTTGCCTCAGTCTGCCAAGACTGACGAACGTTCGGGAACACCAGCCTCTTAGGCTCCAAACTGAAGAAATCTTCAATCTCCGGTGCCTTTTGCGGTGCCGGATTCGATCATGGCTTGCTCTGGGGAGAGACAGGAATTCGCTGGAAAAGCCGGGCCTGCAAGTTTCCAGCCTTGATGGCCGGCTCCATTTTTAGGTACCTGACATAAGTCATACTCGGACGCCTGCCATGTGCCTCTGTCCTGAGCCCTGGGCTGGTAGAGGCCTTGTTTAACACGCCCGTAGAACCTGGAAAGGCGTCTCAGTCTATGCAGCCAGCCTTGGACATGTTGTCACGTCTTCCGGTCTGCCTCCGCTTCCCCGACGGGATCGTGGAGTATTTGCCGGCCTCCGTAAGTGTCAAAACGCCGCAAGGCCTCACTGTGCCGACCGAGGTTGCAGCGGTTGATCCGCCGCTTGCTAAAGCCGGCTCAGCCTCCACGTGTGCTGACGTGCAGGGCTGACTCAGCCTACCTGGCCGTGCGCCGCGCCTCTATCGCCAAGCCAAGGCCTGGCGGTATGCGCACTGCGCCACACATCCCACATCGCAACCCCGCCAGGCCTGCCAAGCCTGCGCCGAGGAGTTCACGGCGGCGCGCAGGTGCCTCGCGCTGCAAGATGGCGCAAGGAGTACTCAGCAATTTTCGCATCGTACATTCCAGCCTGCCATGCCTGGCACAAGCCACCCCGAGACGCTTCGATTCTTCCGAAGCGATCAATTGAACCTGGCTGAACACTCCCCAGCACCAGGTCCTGAGGGCAAGAGACTACTAGTGGCACAGCCCCACATCTCAGAGTGGTGATGGACGGCTGCATGCCGGCCCTCTCAGGACACGACGCGGCCACCGCGGCTGCAAGCGCCTGGAACAATCTGGAACAGAGGTGGGAGTTTCCGAAGATAGGGGACCCTAATAATATAGTACCCTAAATAGTAGGATCCTTATTATAGGGACCCCAAAAGATGGTACCCCTAGTTTTCCGAAACTCCCAGGTACTGCCAGTCTTAGCGCACGGCCTGCAGCCGAAGGCGAGCTCTGCGGAAGCCCATTGGAGTCACTATGCCACTACCCAGACCCCCGGGAGGAGCTAGAAAGTGGATCCCCTAATATGGGGCCCTATACTACTCAGGGTACTTTATAGGAACTCCCATGAAGGGATCTACTTTTTCAATCCTCCCGGGGGTCTGGGTAGTTATCAGCTTTCAATTATTTCAAGAACTGTTGTAAGCTCCATATACATTGCAGCTTCTGTCTGGTGCCGTAGCAGTCAAGGTGTAAAGTACTGCGGCTGGGATTGCATGTCGGGTCTGCACACTGTTTTCAACTAGCCGCCACTTTCGAGAGGTTGCGCTTCGCTGCCCACGGTCACGTCGCCGGTGCACATGCCAGTGGCACAGAAGTGGACGATGTGCCAGCTTACACATGATGCGAGAAGCCGCACAGAGAGAGAGAGAGAGAGAAAGAAAGAAAGAAAGAGAACACACGATAAGCTTCGATGCACAGTGCGTGCTACTCTAGCACAAGTCTCGGATTTCTGGATACCGGCTCGGTCAACTCTGTCAAACAGCAGCTCGAGCAGCAAGCTATGGCTTGCCCGAATTCAGCATTTTGTCTGCTCCTTGCTTCTGCCAAGAAGCCCGGAAAGCCCAAGAAAGCGCATCGTGCAGGACGGAAGCAAGGCGTTGCAAACACGCAAGAACTGCACAGAGGTTCGTCGCGTGGGCGACTAGGCCCAGGCAAGAGGAACCATTTCCATTCTCTGCGGTAGAGCTCGGTTCGAGCGCTCGCCTAGCATAATGAATTCAAGGTGACACAGGCTCATACCACCGAAACGGGGTGGTGGTCCCCCCTTCGCGCCTGGCATTCCTATAGGCTAACCAGAAAAGCGCCAAAATTCAGATTCCACGGCCTACAAGTCCTATGGGTGAAAGGATTTTCCTGCACATCGGGCTCCAATCAAGCAATCCCTTTCCCCGGAGCCCTCATGCCAGGCCGCTTGAAAGCGCAAAGCACCCAGGGCCCAGCGAACAGTCGGCAACAACTGTACAGACCATAAACACTACTACCAAATGGGAGAACTGAAAGAGCCGTGGGACTAGCTACAACATCCAGCGAGCTATACATTACAAGTTGTTCTCACTGGCCTACTTTAAGGCTGCACCCACACCATCACGAAAGCCGCAACACTTCTTCGATGGTCTTGGGTTGCCTATGCTACCTCACAGTCGATCTCGCCTTCGCGTCAAACTCTGAAGGTTGTGGGGGTTACTTGGATGCCCTGCGGGCTCTGGTTGAAGGCATAGCAGAACATCAAACTCTGCAGGCTGTTGGGTAATAGGATGCTCTCCGAAATCCGGTTGAAATGGCAACCAACCATGAAACTCTGCAGGCTGTTGGGTAGTCGGACGCAGTCCAGGCTCTGGGTGAATGCAAAGCCGAGCGTCAAACTCTGCAGGTTGCTGGGTATTTGGATTCCATCCAGGCCCTGGTTGAATGCATAGCCAAGCCTCAGAAGCTGCTGGCTGCTGGGTAATGGGATGCCCTCCAAGCTCAGGTCGAAATGGCGACCAAACGTCAAAATCCACAGGTTACTGAGACATTGGATGCTCTCCAGACGCTGGTTGAAATGGCAGCCAAACGTGAAACTCCGCAGGCCGCTCGGTAGCCGGATGCCATCCAGGCCCTGCTTGAATGCACTGCCGAGCGTCAGACTCTGCAGCCTGCTGGGTGCGTGGATGCCCTCCAAGCTCTGGTGTAAATGGCGACCGAACGTCAAACTCCGCAGGCTGCCGGGTGATTGGATGCCCTCCAAGCTCTGGTTGAAACGGAGATCACATGTACTGTGCAGGCTGCTGCGTAGTCGGATGCCTTCCAGGACCTGGTTGAAATGGCGACCAAAGGCGAACCTCTTCAGGCTGCGGGGTAGTTGGATTCGCGCCAAACTCCGTTTGAACGCATAGCCAAGAATGAACCCCTGCAGGCTGCTGGGTAGTTGGCTGCCCTGGTTGAAACCCCGGCTGGGAAACCATCTGCATGACATGATCTCGTTCAGGGCAACTTCATCTGCAGACAGGCTTCTCCTCGAGAGGGCGATCCCAAAGAATAGCTTCCACCCCACGTACGAGATCTGGGTCGTTCCCTTCTCCATTGGAGCAATTGCATGGGAACTGGGGCTCTACGACATGCCTCGCTGATGAGGAAATTCGGGCCCTCAAGAGGAACCCCAAGACAAGCGGAGAGGCAAGAGTTACGGCCTGCACAAATGGGAAAGCACTCAAAATTCACAAAAACGCACTCTGACTTCTTCGCTCAGCCGTGCTGGACAGCTACCCCACTCAATGCACCACGTGGCCACGACGGCTGCAATTGCAAGCGCCCAGGCCTAGGCCGTGAGAACAGGTGAAGCATGAGAAACGTCATCCCTTTTGCAGGGGTCCCTGCGTGCATAGAGTCTTCGGGCCATGACCACGGAAGCCAGTCGCTCCTTGGCGCTGCGCACAGCTCAGCAGGAGGACCGTGCCCTAGTCTCACACTTCAGCGTATTCGGAGTATGTCACATGAACATCGCAGGCAAGAAGAACGGAGCAGACTGATTTTGGACAATGTGGAATCTGCTTCTGCCCAGGCATGCGGCATGCATCCAATCCGCCCTATCCCAAGTCGGCCCTGTGCTTTGCACCGAGCCAGGAAAGCGCGCGGGCCAAGATCGCCCAAGGAAATCCGTCGCGGCTCAGTCTTGTGAGCTGGCTGGTGGCAGAGCCTCTGGCTTCTCCTCAGCGGTCTCGTCGCCTTCTGCTGCCGTCTCCTCTCCGGCCGTCTCTGCCTCGTCTTTGTCTGCATCCTTCTCCGGCTCGCCCGGCTTCCGCAGCTTTGTGCCTATCGCGTGTGCGGTCTTCAACTCTGGGGTCACCGTCACGATCTTGGCCACCGACTTGACCGTCAACTCCTGAGCTGCAGCGCCGACCTTGAGCCTGTCGCCCTTCTTCGCAACAAGTGCGCTGCTTACGACAAGTTCTTTGTCGCCTGAAGCCACATCTTTTACCAGAGTAGGTTTCTGATCTGCACTTTCAGAATCTTCGGGAGTCTTGACAACCGCATCCCCAGACTTGCAGGCATCTGTCAGCCCATCACTCAAGGTGACGACGAAGGCTACGCTCTCGACGGTGACCGTCTCCTTGCCGAGGACAACCTGCTCACCTGCCTGGAGACCTTCGATGCTGGTGACATACAGCTGGGTGTCCCCCTCCTTGCCACGCTTCATGAGCCGTTTGGAGGCTGCAGTTTGTAGTCTCTGTTTCACTCGCTTGGACGCCGCCGACCAGTAGTAGACGCAGAACCCGATGCAGCCGAAGCCGAAGAGCAGCAAGAAGACCCCGACAATCGCATCCCCGGCAGACCGTTCTTCGGCAGTTGGCACAGCCTCTGCACTTGCCTCCTGAGCGCTTCCTTTGGCGGGCTTTCCTTCCTCGGCCTGCGCGCGGGGGGCTCAAGACAAAAAAACTGCCCTGCATTGCAGAACTCTCACAGTTGGTCATGCACGTGCCACAAGGCAACAAGACAAGCCGGACACAAGCCTCATCGGTGCAAGGGCACACAACAAAGCAACGCTGGCTTATTGTTTTCTTTGCGAGCGTCCAGTGTCAGTGACACTTCGAAAGTAGATGCAAGAATCGATGATGTTTCGCTCTGGAATTATTGACTCTTGACTGTTCTGGGCGGCCTCCTTCTCCTCTTCTTCGTGGACCTTGTCAAAGATGCTCTGCACAATCTTCACGTCGTTGGCTGTCATATCCTAAGGCATCAAACTCGACTCTTTCTTGGAAGGGGTGGGTAATGGATGCAGACAACCACCACCAACACCAGTCACCACCACCACCACCACCACCACCACCACCACCACCACCACCACCACGTGCTGCCAACCACCGCAACAACAACGATGACGAATTACCACAATCTCCACAAGACCTACGACCATGACGACGACGACGATGACGACGACGACGACGCACCACCAGCAACACCACCAACACCACCAACACCACCACCACCGCCACCACCACCACCACCACCACCACCACCCCCACCACAACCACAAAAATCACAACCTACACATACACAGTGCATCTGCGTGCATGAATGAGAGATTCGG